GCTTGTGCTGAGAATCAGAGCTCTTGTGATGCGCTGGTGATGAGTCAGGCTCCTCCTGGCAGCTGCATCATGGAAAAGGTCCTATTCCCATCCCTTTTGGGCTACTGTTCTGAGAGTAGATGGGTGGAAAAAAGGCAATCAATAGTTTAAAGCCTTTTAGCTGAATGTGTTGGGCTTTTTGCTCCTTCCTGATGACATGCACTGATTTCCACCAAACACAAACATTGCTCCCCTGTACAGCCTATGCCTGAAAACAGCTTTACAGTGGAGAAAAGGGGTTTTAGAAATCAGCATGAGAGTTTGTGGCCAAAAAATCATTCTGGTTGCTTTAAACAGAAGCAGCTGTGCTGGGGATACCAGCACCATGCTCAGCACAGTGGAGGTGCTGGAAATGGGCTCAGATCCTTTAAGCTTCTGTGTTGGAGGGGAGGTGATTCCTGCTCAGGGGAAGGCAATCCTATTTCTGAGCTTTTCATTCATGCAAGAGCTCAATGTCAAACCTTATATTTTTTTAAATTGAATAATACTTAGACACCCCCCCCCCCTTCAGTAAAAAGTATTTTCATGCACCATTGCACATTTTCATTTGCACATTTGGTGCAAATGTGAAATGGAGGAGCACTTTTCTCTCTTGAGAGGGATGTGCAGCTGCCTTTTGGATGGGCAGAGCACCATGAGCACACTTTGGTGGGCTCACAATCAGAACCAAACCTAAGAAGAGTTTGGGTTACTGAGTGGAGCCAAGGAAGGTGCTGACTGTCTTGGGTCTGTAAGATGAAAAATCAAAATGTGCCTGAGAAGGGCTTTGGTGCTTCTCAGGGAATGCTTCAAATGTACAGCTGATCTGAAAAATGCTGTGGGAGCATCCAGTTTTTTATTGCTGTGGAGGTCTGGATGTGACTTACACGGGAGGAAAAATCATCTGAAATTGTTTATTTAGAGAAGCGGTGCAAGGTGGCTTGCACTGTGCCCTGCTCTGGGTGTTGAATTCATGGGGAGAAGCCCCGAGGGAGGATGAGCATTGCTCAGTGGTGGGGTGGGACAGCTATAGGGTGCACTGTGTGGAATGCCAAATTCCTGCTTTCTAAGAGCTGAGAAAAGGGGTCCAGGTCACCTGGCTGTAACACTTGGTGACAGTGATGGTGCCTTCCTGAAGTCCTTGCTGAAGCCAAGTGCCTCCCAACCGTCACCAGCCAAGGGCGTTGCTTCGCAGTGATGGGTGAGAGTTGGAATATTTCCATTGTTTGGGAGCATCCCAGGCTGTGCTGAGGCTCTTGCAGAGTAAAGGCAGGCAGAGCTGGCATGGCCCAAGATGCTGAAATTGGTGGAGACACCAATTCCCAGCTTGGTGAGGACACCAAGGCAGAGGCCGTCAGTGAGCGCTGTTACACCAAAACCACCTGCAATAAAGCTCCGCATTCAGAGACAGAGCTCGCTCAGGATCTTGCACCCTCACTTTGGGAAGGGAGCCAGGAAAACAACAAGCTAATATTCATGTTTGAGGATTTAGCTGCTGGCTCCGGGGTGGGTTTGGAGGAGGCGGGTGCGAAGGGGAGCGTGCGCTCTTCTGCTCCTCTGCATGTGTTTGTGCCCTTGTTGGGTATTTTTAGGCTGCAGACCGCAGTGCTGCAATACCGGTGCTGGCTCCCAACCAGCTGGTTGGGGCATCGGTCACAGACAGGCTTTGGCAGCTCGTTGCTCCAGTTTAATTTAGCTTGCTGAGGAGGCTGTTGAATATGCAAGTGGTAATTGCTGCTCTCCTTTCCTTAAAGCAAAGGCGGAAGCGACACCAGGCTCCAATTTTCTCCTAATGACTGATTTCATTTAAACACTGCTCAGGGCGATGCAGGCTTGATGCTTTTCTTTTTAGGGCTGGGGAGAACTATGCTTCTATCTCTGGGGTCACTGATCCAGGTGGCCTCCATCCGTCCTGGTCACACACATGAGCTAAGCTCCTTCTCCTCCTTCTCTTCAGTCTGGGTTTCCAGTTTGAACCCATCACAAACACATTTTCACCCTTGTTTCTGTGCAAACAAAGTTGTTTGGGAATGATTCAGCCCCATCAGTCCTGCCTTGAGATTTGGGCTTGGCTACAAGTTCCCTCACTGACCCTTCCCAACCTATCATCCCTGGCTCTGTTCATACAGGGGCAATTAAGCTTAATTTATTCTGGCCTGCTCAATAGAAGAGGCCAGAAGGCACCATCAGATCACAATCTGACTTAAATGTATTGATCTAATTAGCAGTCAAAGGTACAAGCAGGAGGTGGGAGCAGGACACTTAACATATGATGCGGCGTAGAACTTGTCCCTTCTGTTCTCCTTAACACAAGCCTCCAGATTGCCAGGGGCTGCTGCTTTTTCTTCTTGAATAACCAATTTCTGCAGGATTTGCAGGGGAGGAGGAGGCTGTGTAGCTGGACTTTGTTCTGACAATGCAAGCTGCTCTGTCTGCAGCTCCCAAGGACCTGCCAGGGAGCTGTGTTTTGATTTTGATCCATCTTGTCAATGAATATTCATCAGCCTTCTGAAGGTTTAATGCTATTTGCCTGGTAGCTAACATATTCTCTCCCTAACCTTTTTTTAGCCTTGGTTGCTAATAACCTACAGCCCACTCAGTCTACATTATAGGGTGGTTTGGTTTTTTAAATTGTTTATAGATGAAAATGAGGAACCTCAGTAGCTCCAGAGCTGGAAGCAGCTCAAAAGTACCTTGTCTTGGTTGCTGTATGGCTGTCAGCTTTAAACCCCAAAATAAAACCTTGCCTTTTGGTCTGTCATTCAGACTCCTCATAAAACATTGTCAGGAGTGTGCATCTCTGAAGAGCAGGTGTTGTTCTGATAAAAGCTTTCCACACGTTTTTGTAAGCCCAAGTCAGAGCTTGTATGTAGCAGCAGGTTTCAGGGACGAGGCTGGCATGGTGTTGAAAAGGGGGTGGAAAATGCCCTGTGGAAGAGTTGGGTCTGTTTGCTCCACACCAGCTCCTGGAGCAGGGTCAGGATCAGATGCTGCTCTGGGACTGGTGTGGCTGTACCCATGGACTTGGAATGGCCAAGTGACCAAACTTTGCACATCTGAGGACCCAGTGTAGGTTGGAACAGAGCTCCTGCGCTGGGCAGCCACCAGCAGCATCTCCCTTTGCACCCTGCTCCTTGTGACCCATTAAAACCCAAACCTGCCGTGTTTTCTCCCATATTGGAGTGAACAGAAATCCGTGTGCCTTTGGCTTTTTGTTTCCCTCTCTTCTTTAGGAGAGAAGCTGTGCAGCAGGTCCCAAACCCTGCTGACACTGAGGGGATGCCAGCAGGCCGCTAATGGATTTGCTGCGGTGCTGGCTGCCGGGGAGCCGTGATGAGAGAGCTCTCATGGCAGCTGAAATTCCTCCAGCGGCTGCATATTTCTACATCCAAGATGTAAAAATGTGAAATGAGATTTGGGGCCCTTCAGGAAGGGGGGAAGGGACTCTCCAGGCTGGGCACAGAGCAGTTGCACAGGCTGGGATTATCCTGTGTGAAGATCCAATAGCTGTTTCCCATCGTTCGTGGTTCAGCAGATGATTACACCACGTGCTAGAAATGTGCCATCGAGATCATCTCAAGGGTCAAATCCTCTGTTAAAGAGCTGTGGGTAGAGCTTGAATTTTCTGCAAGCTCCCTGCTTTCAGAGAGCAGTGTTTGCCATGCTGTGGTGGTGCAGGGTCTGACCTCGGGTCTGACCCCAGCCCTGGCTCTCCACAGGGCACAGCAGCTGTTTATTCTGCTGTATAAATCCATAGTTGGAGGGAATGGCAGGCTCCAGGGAGATCAGACACTCCTTTCCAAATGCTGACCTTTTTTTCCCCGAGTCTCTTCATAGCTTTGTTAATAAATCTGAGTCATCCATATTTCAACCTTGGCTGTTTGTCCAGTCTCTTAACATCTCAGTGTCTTGTTTCACAGAGATAAAATATGTGGGTGTGTAACTTTGTAAGACAAATGTTTAGGCTTTCAAAAATTCCCTACTTTGCTGGTTGATTTTTCTCATTAGAGTGTTTCTCCACACTCCTCATTCCTCATAGGTGACTTTCCTCTTGTGTTGCTGACTTAAGAGTCCCAATTTTGGGGCAGTTTTTACCTGATCCTTGCTGTCATTAGGCAGGCAGGGCACATGGTTCCTGCCCTGAGCTTTGCTCCCAACCAGAGTTTCAGAAATCAGCAAAACCCAAGTGGCTGCCAGGGCGAGCGATGCCCGACGTCAGCACAGCTTAGGAAAATCTGAGCTACCGGCCCCGTGTGATTTTTATCAGCTGAAATTGCCTCTTGTAAATATTTACTGGAGCTGCAAGTAAGGTTTATCTAATTAAAGCCAAGCAAAACTTTCCATGAAAAAGAGCTGCCGTACAGGGGGTTGCTGGTGGATGTTTAGGAACACGTTTAAGAGTTGGGGGAAGCGTGCAGAATATTTTTTCAGCTCTGCTGCTGTCTGTAGCTCGGGGCATGCTGAGCCACATGAGCTCTTCAAGGATTGAATCACCCCATGGTGGGGACCTGGTGGCCCCACGCACATCCAGCTGTTTGTACAGCAGTTCCCTGAATTTTCCGTACCCCTGGCATGAAGGGATGTGAGGTGTGGGTATGAGGGGGGCTGCCCTGGCATTGGGAGGGTTGGCACAGCTTTGCTGGGATGGGCAGCACCGGTGGGGCCCAGGACTCCTGATCCCACGGGGACAGCGGCGTGACCCCTGCGGCTGCCAGCCCTGGCACGAGGCAAAGCAAATGCATCTTTTTTAATTTGCGTGGTCCTCAAGGTTGCCAGGACTGTAAGCGTCAAATCTGAGCAGAAATATTTGGCACGAAAACCGTCTGTGCTCTTCCCCTCGGTGCCGAGCGCGTGGGTGGCTCGGTCCCTCCTCCCACCGTGGGACGGGAGCGCGGCGCTGCGGGGCTCCTGCTCCAGCCTCCTCTCTTCTCTTCCCTTCAGGATCTAGTGCCCAGCAGGGAGGGACACGCAGGATTGTGGCCATGGCCCCGAGGAAGAGGAGCGGCCGGGGGATCTCCTTCATCTTCTGCTGCTTCCGCAGCAGCGAGCACCCCGAGATCACGTACCGGCTGCGCAATGACAGCAGCTTCGCCCTGCAGACCATGGAGCCCTCGCTGCCCATGCCGCCCGTGGAGGAGCTGGATGCCATGTTCACCGAGCTGGTGGTAAGTGGGATGCTTCTTAACTTCAGGGTTAGGTTTGGGGTTTCTCCCTCTTTCCTCTCAACCTCCTCTTCATAGTCTCCCCAGTCTTGGTTTTGAGCTTTCAGGCAAACTTTGGTGTAAAGGGAGGCTGAACCCTGAGCTCTGCTCCTCCCTGAGGTCCTGCCACTTTGGGGTGGTCTCTCTCATTAGAAACTCTTAATTTCTTATAGCAGGGGGTTGGGTCCAAGCTGGTAAAGCAGGATGTTCCCCATAGATGCAAAGTGACTTGACTTGCTGGGCACTCAGCTTCACAGAAATTACCAGGCGTGGGCTTCACTGAGATTTGAAAAGTCAGGATATTGTTTCTTTATCCCTTGGTTCCAAAACTTGGAAAAACATGGATTAAGAAAAAAAATTGACAGCCAAAAAAAGCTTTAATTTCCTCTAAGCAAAACCATTTTGGTGTGGTATTTTGGATGGTGTTCTACTTTGAGTTCAGTCAGCAGTGAAATGAGCTTTTCCTACAGTGCTTGGATACATAGAGGGAGCTGGGAATTGTGACACTGGTCACACCTCAAGGTACAGCACATCCCATTACATGCCAGGCACCATGGACCTGTTGAGCCAGGCCTCTTGGTAGAGGAAAGCTCCAGGCTGTATTACAAAAGCTGGTTTTTCCAAGACATCCTTCTCCAAGGGTGTGGCAGACCAGGACACCAACACAGCACAGTAGGGATGAAGTATCCCTGCAGCAGAACTCTTCTGGTCAGGTTGGGTTTGTTCAGGAAAAGTGTCTGTCTGTGTCCCAATTTATTCTCCACTGATAACTTGGCCAAATCAGGTTATCCTGGGGAAACTCTTTCCCATGGATCACTTTTCCCCTGCCCCAGCCAAAGCCTTGTTGGGCTGAAGGAGACATCTCTGGATGCTCATTTGCTGGAGCCCCACTGAGCCTGTGCACCTCATCTCAGCTCAGGATTTTCAAAACATCTCTTGCAAACTCCTCCAGAGGCTTTGTGCAGTGCCACAGGGAACCTCTGTGTGTGCAGCAAGGCAGGAGCCAGTCCAGCCTGAGGCACAGCCTGGTGTGGCCCTTCTGCTCCCCAGCCCTTCTCCATGCTATGGAGATTTTTAATTATTTTTCCCCAGCCAAGGGTGAGAAAAAGGCCCAGAGGCAGCTGCAGCTCCAGGGCACGCTGGCAGCAGGAGCTCCCTGGGGACTGAAGCCATGCAGGGAGGGGGACAGAGGGTGCCCACCGTGCCTCCTGCACAAGCAGCTGCAACCCCCTGGCTCCCCAAAAAACCCATCAGGCAGATCTCAACCCAAGCCAGCCCTGGGTGGGAGGGAGGGGGAAGCCAAGCTCTGCCCTGTGGGCACAAGGAGGCAGATTGCCATTCAGGGCAGTGCAGTTGCAAATCCTCCCTCGGTCCTTACAACAGCTCCTTCTTGCTCTCTGTAACCTGTTGGTGTCGGGTGTTAAATTTCAGCATTAGTTAAATGGTTTGGAAAGTATCCCACTGTTCCTGTACAAACCCTCTGTGTAACATTTGGAAGAGAGACAGAGAAAGCACTCAGAGGTGCTGGGCTGATCTTCATGCCTGCAGGAGCCCCATGCCATGGTGCTTGGCCCTCCTGGCTGGGATGGCTTGTGCTGCTCTGTGGGACTGAGGCTCCCTCCAAAGTCCTTGGCTGTCTCAGCCCATTGGGTTGAGGGAAGTTAAAGGGGTTGGAGGGGATCTGGAGGCTTTGCCAGCTGGAGTTGGTCCTTTGCCAACTCTTCCCTTGCAGCTTTATCCTGACTTTCCTACTCCACTTGTTTGCATCAGGGATCAGAGTGGAGGGATGGAGGGTTTCAGGCCTGGGATGGGGGGTGTCTCTGGGGACATTGCAGCAGTAGGCATGGACAGTCCTCCCACAAACAGAAACAACAGAGTGGGATCCCTGCTCCACAGATCCCAGCCTGCTGCTTACATTGAAGGGCAAAGTTCCTTTATTTTTGGAGCCATCCTTCAAAATATTCCCTGAGCTTTGTGTTTTTAAGTGTGGATTGTTGATCTGAGGCAGGAAACATCCATAGTGTGAGAAATTGGTGATTGTCCCATGCCAGCAGCAGAGGATGAGGGCCTGAGCTGCAGAGGGACGTGGAGCAGCTGTGACTCCAAGGTCAGCTAAAGACTTGGGCTGCTCTCCCAGTGTCTGTTTTTTGGCCTGTTTTGTGTTAGATGGACACTTAGGATTTTAATTGGGATAGGTAATTAGAACAGATAAATACTTAGGGGTTTATTCTGTGTCTGTGCAAGTGTTTTTCACTTAGTTGCATTAGAAGCAACAGGAAAATGGGATTTTTTTTCACCTGGGCACAAATTTCAGCAGTAAGAAATGCTTGATCTTCATTCCAGACTGCAAGGATGATGCTCCCTGTCCCAGCCAGCCACATGCAGCAGGCAGGGGCTTTTCCCTGGCTCGGGGCAGATGCAGATGTTGTTGTTGTGGTCAGTGACTGATCACTGCTTCCTCCCAGAGGAACCTTTTCCCTTTCCCTGCCTCTCCCCCAGCCTGGTGTGAATGGGTTTTGTCGGAGCATTGTTGGGATGTCGCTCAAGCGGGCACCGGCCCTGTCTGAAAGGATTTTCTTTGTCCCCTGTCCTGCCGGGGCTCCGGCCAGGCTCAGCCACCCAGGGAGGAGCAGGTGCTGGCAGAGAGGCACAAACAAAAGCAGAGTGTTTCAGCAAGATTTACTGATTTGCAGCTCCTCTGGCTGGGACAGTGCTTTATGGTTTTGTGCACCGCTGTGTCCTGCCAGCTTGGGTAGGCACTGGTTGCTTCCCCAGGCTCCTGCAGAGGTGTGGCACCTGCCAGGCAGCATCCACTGGATTTGGGGAGTTTCAGGAGCCTCCCACAGGACACATCAGGAGGATCACTGATCACTGTGCCCCAAATGTGGGGTTGCACGAACTGCCTGCGAACCAAGAGAACAAAGCTGTGCCATCTGCCACAGCTTCTTTCAAGAGGCTCCTGCGTATCCAGGCTAACAATACAGCATTTCTTCAAAGGCTGAAATCTTGCTTGCACACTCAGAAAAAGCACTTGCAAAGCTCCACATAATGGTGCCATATGGTAGATCTTGCCATAACAATCCTCTCTATTTTCTGCCAGCAACTAGACTTTCCAGCAGATGGGTGAATGACTGATGTCCTTTATATCTGCTTAACACTCCTTGTCACTCCGAGGCTTGTAATGAAATGCTCTGTGTGTGGTGCTGTGCACTGGGCAGGGGGCTGGGATGCCTTGGTTTGGAGAGGATGGGAGGAGCCCCAGCATGACCCAGGACCCCTCTCTGTCTCTCCTCACAGTGGGGTGGGTCACGGTGGCATCTCCATCCCTGCAGAATGAGAGCGATGCTCTGGTGGCTGCTGACAGAGCTTAGGTGCTCAGAGGAGCTGCTGAGTCTGGTGTGGCTTTGCTTGCCCCTGAAGCACAAGATTCTGCCTCTCCCTGGTCCCACAGGCTGCTCCCAGCCTGCATCCCTGCTGGTGGAGGGATGGGTTCAGAGGAGGCGCTGCTCCAGACATTCCTCAACGCTTGCCTTGCCCAGGCTTTGAGGAAATTCCATTTACTGCTCCCAATGGGGCTTTGCAGCCTTTTCACTTCTGAGCTAGTGATGCAGAAGAAATTAGAGCAACTTCCATCCTGCCCTGCATCCTGCCTGTGATGTGCAGCAGCCTGTTTTTAGCCTGTGAAACCAGAGCAGGTAACCTTCCCTGGGTGCCTCAGCCCAGACTCCAGCAGCTGACAAATTTTTTGGGATTTGGGGAGGTGACAGCAGGAGGTGAGTGGCTGTGCAGTGTCCCCAGCCCCCCAGACTCAGGATGGGTGCAGGCTTTTGCCCACTGATGTTGCCTGAGCTTTTTGTGCCTTCCCCTCACATGGAAGGCGGCTGTATCCCCTCCCTGCTGCTTTATGAAGTAGTGGAAACTTGTGAGCCTGAGGAACAATAAAAAGGTCTCTGGCAGCTTGTAAGATTTATCACAGCATTTGTTTTTGCTGTACTTGGGGCAGCTAATGCATTTCATCTGAGCTGCTCTCTGGATGCTATCAGGAGATGGTGAGGAGATAGAATCCCCTGTACAGACATTAATTCTGTTGCCTTTGAAATGTTTCCTGGTGGTCAATAGGTCTGTGGCTCATGATGTGCAGTGCTGGGGCAGGATTCTCCATGGATAGCTGTCCCTTGGAGCTGTGCCTCCCCTTCCTCTTGGCATGCTGGGATGATGGCTGTTTTATATCCTGCTTGAGCAGGGAGCATATAAACGTGAGGAGAAACGGTGGTGTGGTCAGTGTGAGCACTGCTGTGTGTCAATAACAGCTCAGCCTTGGGAACTCATTGCTAGCAATCTCCATTGTGCTCAGGAACTTCAGCAATGTGCTTTCTTCCCCGGTTTCTAATCCAATAAGGAGAAAGTATGAGGTTTTGGGCTTTGCAAAACAACACGGCTTTTAAGTAGCAGCTGAGGGATCAGCTGCAAAGCCAAGCTTTGCATTTCATGCTTGCAGGTCAGCTGTCATACTTTGCTGCCTGGTCCTTCCAGCATGAAGGACTTCAGGATTTTGAGAACCACTGAATGGTGACCAAAGCCATTTCCCCTATATCTGCAAAGAAAAGCATGTGGTTGGTATCTGGAAAAAATGACAATTGCAGTAGCCCTTGTGTCCTGGGCAAGCCACCCCTTTCTGCAGGGTCCATCCAGAGCCAGATGCTGAGCGTGGAGCTCCTGACCCCATCCCACTGCTGTCTCCCAAAACCAAGCTCCCTCGGCAATTGAATCACTTTTAAGAAGGCAAACCAAATGATAGGTAACATCTGCTTTTAAATTCACTCTGTGGGGATCCGTGTGCCATATGGACACTTCACCAGGCTGCCCAGTTTTTGTTTTTTTTGATGTGAACAGTCTGGACCTGCCAGGCTGCCATCCCAGCCCAGCGCTCACGGCGCTTGTTTTCATCACCTCGTGTTGTTAAC